CCCCAAAACCCCAAAACCCCAAAACCCCGCTATTTAATTTTTATGAAATGTAAAGATATGAAAGAAATCTTTGAGTTTTATTTAAATAAATGCTTTTGAAAATAATTGTTTTAATCTGATCACTAAATTAAGTCATCAATAAGCCAGTGAATTCAGGGAGGATATTTTTTAAAAGTGTCTCGAGTGGTACAATAGGCATAAGATCCATAATTACCTACTCTATTACGAGCCTGGAGAGTGTTCTAATTCTTAAATGGAATTGGGCATTAGGCTCTTTCTGTGTTGTCTCGATTAGAATGATTCCTCAGAAATTGATCGAATTGTTTTTTTGACTCAAACTAATAATCCTAAGGCTATGGGTTCCTCAAATTTAGTACATCCTGTGTTTCATTTTTCTACTCCCATACATTTAAGTCATTCAGCTTGGCCTTCAACAATTGGCAGCAGAAATCCAGTATATCTTGATGATGCCACTATCCGTTATCCTCGTTCTTAAAAGGTTCCTACGCGGCTTCATACAGTCTCTCTAATTCCTAAGTAAGAGTTTATATGTTGACAGCATTATTTGTTTTTTAGATAATTTGCTGAATAAGTGCCATAAATACTATGAATCTGTCGTGTGATACCCTTTAGTTTGTTTGTCTTTAATCATAGGCCAAATTGTTGAATTTTTGGATTTCCTCATTAAAAGTATTTTCTTCGTCCTTAAATGTGGTATTTTCTAATTATGCATGATCCATGTCGGGTATTTCAAAGATGGTTTATGATGTAGACAAATCGGCTTCATCAAAGTGTGGCTCTGTGCTCATTTCTTAATCTTTGTTTTCCCACTCAATGTATGGTTTGCACTCTTCCTCTTATAAAACCTCTCTAATTGCAGTATTTCCTGTGGTACTTTACTAATCAATGAAGCTGTTTCTCTATTCCATATAAATCAAATTATAATTCTAATTATAAGCTTAACTATATCTTGTGAATTCGTTGCGATTGGGGTTTTGGGGTTTTGGGG